CTACCCTTTGGCATTATTTCCTTTAACAAGGAGGTTTTATGTGTAAGATATTCGGGCATTGAGAAGGGCTAAATTAAAAAAAAACAAAACGCCAACACAAAAGATTCTAGACAGTTCTTTTAGGGCACAACACACTACTGCAATTGTTTCTCAGGTTTGAAGCTAAGTGTTTCTAATGCTGGGCATGAAGGTTGATCATCACACAGATCTTTGTTCCTTCTGCATGATCAATACAGTTGCATAAAGGACCTAGCAGTCATTTATACAGGAAGCAGGTTAATTCAGGCAGGCAGCACGGGGGAAGAATGAGAGAGTGGTGAGGGTTAAGAGGAAGATGAGTCTCTTTGACATTGTCTTCACTTGACACTGACATTTGGCTGGAGCTATATTACTTTCATATTCTATTGCTGCACTGGAGGAACACCTTTTTCTGAGTCCTCCATCAATGTTGACCATGTAAGTATGCATTAAATTCAAAGAAATAGAGTTTTGTGTCTTTGGGCACCAAATACGGGGTCCTATAGCTACTACAACTGCAAGCCTGTCTTCCTGCCAGTCCCAGGGAACTTACACTAAGCAGGCAGGGAGGGAACAGACCTTGGCACCACCCCAGAAGGAATTAAAAGCTAGCACAGCCTGTGTGACCACTGCCCTAAACACCCTCCTCTCTTCTTGGGAGATCTTTCTGGGAAAACATATGATTGCCTTAAGCTCTTGGTAGTCTGCCTGCTTTTTAATTAGTAGATCACTTCGAACGAAACTGCAAAAGAATTTAGGTCTTTGGAAATATTGCCAAGCTTCAAACAAAGAAAATTAAAATAGATGAATTATAGCAGAAACAAGTGCTCTGCACTAGCTCTGCAATGATTCAAGGAGAGCAAAAGGTATCATACCTGTCTATATGAACAATGTATGACAATAAAATCCTGTAAAGGAAGTGACACACTGAAACTGCATGGTAGCATCAGAGCAAATGTTTAATTTCCTAGCTAGTCCAGCTTTTATGTGTTTTATACTTTATTTGTTTTATGCTAGAAACCCTAGAAATGAGTACTTTACTGGAAACACAAAAACAAGAGCCCTGGAGAACAGAGAAAGTGTGAAAAACAAAACCAGAGAACATATAGACCTGTATGGGGTGTCAGAGAAGGCTGGTGTGGAATTGAAAATTAAGAGGATAAGTTAGGTAATTGTCCTGGGGTGACTTTATGATGCTTGTATCCCCAGCTGTCTGTCCTGTTTTAAGTTCTGCACCTTTAAGGCAGGTTCCAGAAGCGAAGGGGGACACGAAGCCGCGGCTCCCCCGCATTCTCTCTCGCTGTGCAGGAGACAGCTCTCCTTCCTTGGCTTTTAGATAGCTTTTACCTGGCTGAGGCAGTGAAGTTCCCCAGACTGTGGCTTTTCTTTTTCTTGGAACTGATCAGCCCTGCTTTGGACCGAAAACCCAGCAAACAGCGGGAGCCCACGTGTGGCCCAGTGGGGCCGGGATGTGGCATTTTCCAGCACAGGAGGGACTGAGAGCTACGCCCCACAACAAGGGCTTTCTGAACTTGCCATCTCTTCAGAACAGCGAGAGGTTCCATTGTTTCATATTATTATTTTTCTCATGTTTGTAAGTACTTTGCTGGTTAAATAAACAAGGTTTTTTCCACTTTTCTCCAAGGAAATACTTCCTAAACTGGTAGAAGGGAGAGGCCACTTGAATTTGCTTTCTAAAAAGCCCCATTCAGAAGTTTCCACCAAATTTTCCCTATACCAAGACAGTAATAAACCAAGAAGAGAAATGAGACTTAGTTAATCAATAAAGACTAAAGTGAAGTAAGATTAGCAATAGACTCAAGACAAGTAACAAAGGATCACGAAGAACTTAGTGCAAAAGCCCCAATTTTAATAACACATTTTCCATAGGGTGATGTTCTAGAAGTAAGCTGCTTATATATGTTGATATGTATTCCAGTGAAGACTATTCGTGGAACTCATTCATTTGTCCCATTTTTAAGTAGAGTACGCTCCTTCTAGGGCAGACTGCCATAACCTCTCTTCAACAGCTGAGGGCACTCCATGACCAGCTAAATGAAAAACACGGTTCTACCCAAAACTTACCTGAGGCAGGAGAGCTATCACCTAATCTGATAGCAGAAATCAAATGATGAAGCCAGCCAGGTAAAAGGTCAGAGCTGCCTGCCAAACCATTGGGGGCTTCCACCCGAGTCCAGTATGAATTGTGTGTTTACCTGTAGAGGCATACTTGAATTGGCTTAGATGGGCATACTGGGTAGGGAAAATTGTATTAGTGGCACCAAAAATTCAGAAAGTTCATTGAGAGTCTATCTGGAAGCCACGTATATGGTGTTGTCATATATGGTTCATATAAAGCTTTGGTTTCCCTGGCAAAATCATGTCATGAACACAGCGACGAAGACCCGTGATATTCATGAAGTTTGATACCCAGGATTTAATGCACTTCTCTCTGGAAATTTAAGTCTGTGAACACCTCACTTTTATAATGTTAAGGTAAGAATAAGCAGCTCCTGAGAAGACCTTCTTCCCACAAGCCTGAAGTCAGAGAGCTTCTCACTCTGACAAATTCCCATTCCTCATCTGAACCAGGGATTTATGCACACCTAGTCTCCCCAGACCCTCAGTAATATGGCTTTTATGAACAGCTGTATACTTGTGTCAAAATGGAGCTGTAGGAATACGTAATTGCTTTTTTTACTAGAGACAGAGACAGAAGGAATGCCTGAGGCCTGAGTTTGGGCTAGGTTTGTCCTGTTTCTTGGCAGGGAAACTGCAATGCTGTATACTGATTTGGCTACAGAGTTGCTGCTATCTTAGCCAGCTTGCAAATAAGCTTCTTGTGCAGGCTGCAGGTACATTTGAACACTTTGCTAATGTAATTTGGAAGAAAAAGTGGGAGATTACAGAGCACAGGCTAGGATGGCTTTCCCTTGCAAGATATACACAGGTCAGTTTCAAACACTTACTGTAATGTTATTTTATCCAAGAGATCACCTTTAGAAGAAAGCAAGTTTGCTTTGTAAAACCTCCCAATAAATAGTATGGTAAACTTGGCACCTTCAGGTAAGTGTTAGGTAAATGCTCCCTATGCAAAAGTGGGAGAATCACTCTTGGAGTAACTGCTGCATCGGACAGCCGGACAGCCTTGCAGCCTTTTTTAACTCAGAGGGAACACCACTTAAATACTTTGTTTCAGCAAAGTAGGTGAGAACAAATAGTGCCAGTCCTGCTAATGAGAACAGTTCGTGTACTTAGCTTTAGCCATGCGCTTGTGTCCTCTTAAAGTCAAGCTTAACAATCCTCCCTAAACCTTTTCCAGACAAAGCTTTTTTTTCTTACGTTTGCTTTTTACCATGTGCAGTACCACTTCTTTCCAGAGGAGGGAAAACGTGTACTTCTACTCTGCCTCTTTCCCCTTTCCACAAAAGCCTTTCAGCGCAGCAGACCAAAGCAAGGTACTGGCACTAAACAAAGCATAGAGAAATCACGTTTATTATTCGTAACTTATTTTGCAAAAACGAGTACTAATTTGGAGAAGGCGAGGTTATGTGAGGGTAAAAACATTTGTCTAAGAAGTCAATGCCTGTAAGACAAAGGACTGAGGGGGCACAGGACTAAACAGCGTCTGTGTATCCCAATTTTCCCTTCTTTTTATTTTTACCTCTACCCCTATGGTTAATGATTAATAATACTAATGTGACTTGACCAGGTTTTGCAGAGTGAGTTAGGAAGGCACCTGAATACAGCAGCACATGCCCATTAAAACTGCAGATGGGCAGAAGAAGAATGTACACAATTCAGTATGTTTACCACTTGGGCACTGTTACCTACATAAACCAATACCTATGGAGAGAAACAAATAAACATATATTGTTGTTCTACTCTTTTGCTGGTTTTGGCTGAGGCGACTTTGTGTGTTCTGTTAAGGCATGCATCCTGCTGCTGACACTAAAATAAGTATATTCTCTTATTTTATGATGTGAAATCAGAGATTTTCAGGGACTGACACCGAAATAATTTACACAGTTACATGCTCTGGGAGTCGCTCCTATTAAATCAATTAGTCTATGATTTTTACCACAATGAAAGCAGGTAGAAGTATTTTGTCTCTCAACGAGAAAATACTACTTCAGAAACGTGTAGCAGCAAGAAAATTATGAGTTTTGGCATTTTTGCATCTTCAGAATGGAGAAATGCAAAACTGTTTCACATTTCAATATTTTTCTCCCAGATTATGCTTCACCTTTTAGCAATTGTCTGTACAGACGCCCTATACTACAATTGCCTTCAGGTGCCTTCTAACTTAATTTATTTGCTGCTTATGAAGAGATTTTAGAGCTGACTATTGTCAGACATCTGTGGGGGGTGTCCCTAGGCACGAGCTCTTCTTACAAAGGGAGGGACATGGTGGCCCCTTGGCAGTGGGGCATTCATTCCAGTGAACGCCATCTGAATGCACTATCTGAGCAAGCCTATGGGGCTCAGCTCCACGCTGGCCCCATGTCTCTGCTGTGGTGGAGCTGCTCTGGCAAAGGTGGGACAAATTCCTTCCCTTTCTCACGTGCAGCATCAGGCACGCGTTACGGGGCTGCTCCTCCGGGCACAGCTCGGACCGCCCGTCTGCAGCCCCCACCGCCCCGCACGCAGCCATCCTCGAGCAAGGAAAGCACATCTTGTGCTGAAGCTGTCTATGTCGAGCTCCCACACGGAACGGTGGCGGCCAGAACAGCCTCTGCCGCTGTTAGGAGGGGTTCAGCCCCTGCTCTCTCCGCACAGCCCGCTCTGCTCCCGCCGCACAGTTCGCCAAGGGAGGGCGGAACAGGGCAGCCCGGCGCTGCCCAGCTCTCCTCTGGCCTTGCCGCGGCGGGGCGGAGCAGAGTCCGGCCGGGGACCGCCCCCCAGCCTAGGTGGGGTGGAGCCGCCACTCGCTTTATAAAGGGCGAGCCGGGGAGCTGCTCGGCGTCGCCGGCAGAGCGGGTGGGGAGGGTAGGGTGGGTGAAGCAGGACCGAAGAGGGCAGGCAGGACGGAGCCGTCAGGGCGCGGTGATGGAGCTGCTACGGACTATCGCCCACCCACCGGGCGGCGGCGGTGCCGCCAAGTGCTGCGAGGCGGCGGCGGGCAGAGCGGCCGGGGGCGAGTCGCGCAGGAAGAAGGCGGAGGAGCCGCCGCACCAGCACGGCCACCCCGCAGCCGAGGTCTCCCGGATTATAACCGACCCCACGACGGGGAAGCGCTACTGCCGCGGCAAGGTGCTCGGAAAGGTAATGGCCGCGGCGAGCCCCGTGCCCTCCCGAGGCTGTGCCGGTGTGCCCAGCTGGCCGCCCTTCGCGGCGGAGCGCGGCGCTTTCCCTGCGGGGCTGCGTTCTCCCGGAGAGCGGAGCGCTGCCGCCCACCAGCTGCCCAGCGCCGCCCGGGCCAGGCGCGGTGTGTCCGAGCGCCCGTACTGCCCCAGAATCCTGCCTTCGGCGCGGGCGAGCCGCGGGAATGACTTGGATGTTGCATGCGGGGAGTGGGGAGCGCGAATCTTCCGACAGACGACGAACACAGGACCTGTCCTTAGAAAATTGCCCTTTGCTAAGGAAGTTGCGCTTCTTGACTAATACATGAGCTGGTGAATGACTAAGTGCGGGACTGCATTTATACTTGCTCTAATTGCCTTTTTCTTCTATGTCTCTCTAGGGTGGATTTGCCAAGTGTTACGAGATGACAGATTTGACAACAAATAAGGTTTATGCTGCAAAAATCATTCCTCACAGCAGAGTAGCAAAACCTCATCAAAGGGAGAAGGTATGTATGCATTAATTTTTTATTTTTTTTCCCCTTCTCGAACTCTTTGTGTGCTGGATTGCCTACCCCTTTTCTTGAAATGGTTCTGATAGAGCTGTCTACTCAGCCTTGTGGAAGTAAGGCTAACAACACCTTTTTTCTTTCCCACTATCTTGTCTTTTCAGATTGATAAAGAAATTGAGCTGCACAGAATGCTTAATCATAGACACGTTGTGCAGTTTTACCACTACTTTGAAGACAGAGAGAATATTTACATTCTTCTGGAATACTGCAGTAGAAGGGTGAGCATCAACTGGGAGAAATCCAGTATTTACTTACCTTTGCAACTAATTTATATGTGTGATGTGTAAAAGTTATTTTTTGTGGCTTTAGTTTTTGCTTCTCTATGTACCTATTTACTTTTGCTTAAAGTGAATCTTGTTCATGAATTGTCAGTGACATTTCTGCCTTTGTTTTTCTTCTGCAGTCAATGGCTCACATCTTAAAAGCAAGGAAGGTATTGACAGAACCAGAAGTACGATACTACCTCAGGCAAATTGTGTCAGGGCTAAAGTATCTTCATGAACAGGAAATCTTACACAGGGATCTTAAACTAGGTAAGTTCTCTAGATTGCCAGCTTCAAAACACACTCCTCTAGCCCTGTCAGCATTGTACCACTTTATCCTTTTATGGTGATAGTTTGTTTAGTAGAATCAGCTTAGTCTGTCTTTACAGTGGAAACTCATGGTGCTTTAAGGGATGACATTAAACATTCCTAATTAAAAAAAAAAAAATCTTGCCTAGCTTTTGGCTCAGAACAAAGTGACTCAGCACCTGTGGCGAATGCATTCCTACCTTACTAGAGATGGATTAACTGGAATTTCTTTGTTTGCCAGGTAACTTCTTCATCAATGAGAACATGGAACTGAAGCTGGGTGACTTTGGCTTGGCAGCTAGGCTGGAACCACTGGAGCACAGGAGGAGGTAAGAGCATCAAAAATGTATAGTCTAGTAGTAAATGAAACTAAATTCATAGGAAAATGAGAAGTCATGTTCCATAGTAAAAGCTAGTTTCTGCCTCTCCAGTATCATGAAGACAAAATTAAAATCATCTATGCTATCAAAGTTCCTACAGCTCCTCTTTAGATGTCTCAAATTCTTGTCTGAACTTGAGAGGAAAACCTACCCTATGAAAAATAGCTCCTTCCTCTTTCTGTTTGAAATACTAACCAGCTCTTTGGCGTCTTTGATTTTTCAGAACAATATGTGGCACACCAAATTACCTCTCTCCAGAAGTCCTCAACAAACAAGGGCACGGCTGTGAATCTGATATATGGGCCTTAGGCTGTGTAATGTAAGTATTTCCCTGCCTTTGAAATGTAATATATATTTACCACTGGCTTAGGCTTTTGAGAGTTCAAAGGGGGTGCAGCTTTTTGTACATGTGGAGCTCAAATGCAGAAATTCTTCATGTTGGGAGACAGACAAAGCCTTGTTTTGTGGCTATAGACACAAGTATGCTGTAAAATAAAGTAGTTTTCCTTTGCCTTTGAACAGGTATACAATGCTGTTGGGAAGACCCCCGTTTGAGACTACAAATCTTAAAGAAACATACAGATGTATAAGGGAAGCAAGATACAGCCTGCCATCATCTCTCTTGGCACCTGCAAAACACTTAATAGCTAGCATGTTGTCAAAAAACCCTGAAGATCGGCCCAGTTTAGATGAAATAATTCGGCATGAATTTTTCTTACAGGTTTGTACTGTCTGCCATCAGTGTTGTAAAAAAAATCCACACAAAAATGCACTCTGTGGTCTAAAGCTTTTTTTGTTGCATTTCCACAGGGCTTTACACCTGATAGACTTTCTGCAAGCTGTTGTCACACTGTCCCTGATTTCCATTTGTCAAGTCCTGCTAAAAATTTCTTCAAAAAAGCAGCTGCTGCTCTCTTTGGGGGTAAAAAGGATAAGGCCAGATACTTCGACACACATAGTAAGTTTCAAACTTAACCACTTATCTCTATTGCATCCGCTTCATATTAGTGTACATCTGTGAGATACCAACAGAACACCTTTATCTGTTTCAGAGCTTTCCTGGGTTGGTTTTGGCTCTTTTCTTATTAAGTATAGATGGTAGCCCTGCCCACCTGTGCCAGTTTGCATATGTAAATGCTTCTTATAGCATCCGTATCTATATTGGTGATCTGTTAGTTTGTAATGTCTATTGGAATTTGGTCTCTTACGTGATTTGTGTAAAATGGCATCATTTCTCTGGGAAATTATGGCAGGCTTAGAAGAAGCTGCTGGAGAGAGACGATATGTTTTCTGCAGCGAACTTGCTATGCTTTCTATAATTCAATAGCACTTCCAGATTCAGGGTTAAATTTTTTTTTTCCTGTATTGCAGACAGGCTAGCTAAAGAAGATGAAGAAATCTACAAGCTCAGACATGATTTGAAGAAGACATCGATAACTCAGCAGGCCCCCAAACACAAGACAGATGAGGTATATGCAAGTGCAGTTTAAATCCAGTAATAGTTGGGTGGAGTAGCTATAACAAAATTATATTTGACTTGGATATCAGAACTGGGGCTGTACGCAGCATAATCAAGCTTAAATGATTAGCAGAGTTACTTTAAGAGGGCTTAAACAAGCATCACAAAGGTATGGTAGCCTTTGTAGGGAGACTATAAAGACTATAAATTTTGGCTTTTGAGTAATTATAGTATCTGCCTAGACTTCATTGTTGTCTGTGCGTTAACTCGTCTGCCAGGTGCTATTTCTCAATATTCCAAATACAGATCTCCAGTTCATGATTAACTAGGGCTTCTTAAAAGAATAAATTGCTGAAATCTGTCTTTTACTATTTGGTGTTCAGACCTGCACACAGCTGCTCCCTTGCTAGGGCAGGAGAGCAGGGAACTGATTAATAGCCTGTGAGATGCAAATTGAAGATCTAAAGAATGGAAAGACTTGGTGTGCCGCTCTAAGCTCAGTCTAGCGGCAGCTCTTTGTACTTTGCAATCTTTGTACATGAGTACCAGTTTCCCTAGAGTTTCATTTGTTGAGAAACAGGAGAGCCATGCAAAACTTGTGTATAAGCCTTGGCTTGTGTTATGTTTGATGTTTACATGCCTGACATCTCTTCTAGGAGATTCAGCCTCTTATCACAACAGTGGTGAAGCCAGGAGCATTGCCAGAAACTAAGCAGATTGGAGACTCCATTCGGATGATAGTCAGAGGAACTTTGGGAAGCTGCAGCAGTAGCAGTGAATGTAAGTGCAACAAAATGTGATCTCTAAGTCAGAATCCCACCTTTATTTTCCTCATATCTTAACAGTTTGAAACAAACACCTTTTTATCATCTTATTTTTGATATTGTAAAAGCCAGTATTTTTGAGAAATATAAATTAGAAAATCATTAAGGCTAGATTTCTTAAAATCTAGGTAACTGAAAGATTTAGAATGAAAATTTTGTGTGCTCTTGTCAGTTTAATAATCCTTCCTTTTCAGGTTTGGAAGATAGTACCATGGGAAGTGTTGCTGATACAGTTGCAAGAGTATTGAGAGGCTGTCTGGAGAACATGCCAGAAGCTGACAGCAATCCCAAAGAACAGCTGACAGCATCCTTCCAATGGGTTACAAAATGGGTGGACTACTCCAATAAGTATGGCTTTGGATACCAGCTGTCAGATCACACTGTTGGTGTCCTCTTCAACAATGGGGCACATATGAGCCTTCTGCCAGACAAAAAGTAAGAATCAAAGCCAACAACTTGATAAGGCATTTTAAACATTAAATATTTTTTTTCTCATCACTAACCTTCTTATTTTCCTTTTTCTTTCAGAACAGTGCACTACTATGCTGAACTAGGCCAATGCTCTGTCTTCTCAGCCACAGAGGCTCCTGAACAATTTATTAGCCAAGTAACTGTACTGAAGTATTTCTCTCACTATATGGAGGAGAACCTCATGGATGTAAGTTCAGCACCTTCAGAGGCCTGAGCTATAAAAATATACTAAATGTGAACTGAGTGCTTAATACAGTCTGTTCCCTTTCCTAGGGAGGAGATTTGCCCAGCCTAACAGATGTACGCCGGCCCAGGCTTTATCTCTTACAGTGGCTCAAATCTGATAAAGCACTAATGATGCTTTTCAATGATGGCACGTTTCAAGTAAGTGTGATAGCATCACCAGAGAAAATGTCTTTAAATACTTTATTGCAAAAAAACTACCTAAGTCTCCAAAACTGAGAGAGGAAAGTAGATAAATAGCAACTCCCTTCTCTTTTACAGGTGAACTTCTACCATGATCACACAAAAGTCATAATTTGCAATCAAAGTGAGGAATATCTTCTTACCTATATAAATGAAGACAGGATATCCACAACGTTTCGTCTGACAACTCTTCTGGTTTCTGGATGTTCATTGGAGCTAAAACACAGAATGGAATATGCTCTGAATATGCTGCTGCAGCGATGTAACTGAAGGAACTGACTCTGTTAAACCAAATGGACTCTCTTGTTTGAATCTACAGTGGAGATAGTGGAGCAACTAGTATGTTGATGATGGATGTGTGGTGGTACGAAAACTGGACTGTCCAAGTGTGCTGGGCACACATCTATTAGAAGCCTAAACCTACTTCTTGGACTAAAATGTGACAAGGAGTTCTTCGGATAGTAGTTTTCCTTGCTTCATGTGTGTTAAAGATATATTTGACTTGAACTCGGAGCAAAGTGTGTCTGTTCGCTCAGTAAGAGAGCATCTCTGATGGAGTTAAACTGTGAATACACATCTGGAAAGGGAGGGAAGGGAGAGCTCCGTTGTTGGGGATAATTGTAACAAGCAGCTTCTGGTTGCTTAACTGTGAACTATGGCCATACTGTTTTTTTTTTTTCCTTATTTTTCAAAAATACCCACACTTGTGGCTGGCAAAGTGCATTCCTTGTTAATTTTTTTTAATTTATTACAGCCTAAAGTGAAGTATTTATTACTTTTTTTTTTTTTGGATCTTTGCATTTTAAATATGAATCTGTTGGCAATAAAGAATGGAAATCTGAATCTCTACTCCTTCTCCAGTATGACTGAGCATGCTTTACTTTGCATTAAAAAAAAAATTTTGCAGATTTTCTTTCTAAATGCTATTTTTAAAAAGCCTGCTACGTGTCTGGATAGAGAGGGTAGGCAGGTGTGTCTGTGTCTATGCCCTCTTGCAGTCACAAACACCAACATGGATAGTGTTGACTACAGCTGCAATCCTAAAACAACTACTGCTGGAGCCTACAGACTAATGATGTAGGTCTTGGCACTTAGGACAATAACTAAGGGCTTAAAACAAAAGTATGTATCTCTTCCAGATACTTATATCCCAAAATTCATGTTTTATTTACTGGAAAGAAGTCTCCTGGATACTTTGTAGGGGACTGAAGGATAAAGAGCTGAGTTCTCTACTTGCTGTGAGACCATTGCTCTTATCAAGGGGCTGAGTATCCTGATACCTCAGCAGCAGCATGAATTGACCATACCTATCATTTGCACCCTGCTGAGCTATATTTTGTCTTTTTCTACCATTGGTTAAATGGCTATGCCAGTAAAGTAAAAGCAAAAGGGTGACTTAGTGTCAGCTTTGGGCTTACTCTCCCACTGATAACTTTAAACAACCACCAGTGTTACTAAGACAAATTGCAATTTATGGTGTACACTAAGTTTCCTGTAAAGCAGTTCAAAACAGCTGAGACCAACATAGGAATAGCCTGCTGCTTTCTGCAATCCTACTACTTCTAAACATCCACTTATATAAGTAATGGCTTTCCAAAAATGTAGGCAGTGCCATTTGTCAGTTAAAACCATGCCAGTAGGTGCAATTAGAGAGAAATCATGGACCCCAGGCAGGGGGAAATTGTTTCACTTGTGGACTGGGCTTCTTTCTCTTAGATATAGCACCTGGACCTGTATAAACACATAGCTGTCTTCAAGTAACTCTTCTGATGCAACAGCAAGCAGTTCAATTGCTTACTTGACCTATTGTTCCTATAACTGAATGAGACCTTTTCTGAAAGACATAAATTGCTGTCAGTGTATCAATCACAGCAGCAGAATATAAGGAACTAGCAGAGTGATAAAACACAGACTAAACAAAGTACAGATGTCAATCTGAAATGGTGAGCAGAGTACTTATAACTGGCTTGCTTCATCTTGCAGCTAGTATGTAAAAATGTGATTGGGTTTGTTGTATTGAATACCATGTATTAGGTAATATTTATTTACTTCTCAAGTCTAGACAGGAAGACCCAATTGAATTCTTCAGATGGATTCATTAATGTAACTCTAGGCAGTTCAGTGAAGTTAAATATATATTTGCTATATATTGAGCAGAATTCAGCTTCCCAGCTGTCTACTTTCTTCAAGGGATAATGGCTGATTTTATTCCTGAGAGGCCATGACTTACCTAATTCCGCTGCACACATACAGCTTCTGTTGTGTTCTTTTCCCTAACAAAGTAAAATCTCAGTCTTTGTTTATGACACAAGTAAAGATATGGACAAATGTCCGTCTTACCTTCCCTTGAAAGATGTGGTCTGCATTTTATGCTGGTCCAGCAATTGTTCTAATCTCTTACATCGAAACCAAGAGAAAATACAGCATAAAATATAGTTTGGGAGTATATGTACTTGAGAGGAAATGTGAGGATTAAAAGATTAAGTGAAAGCACAAAGGTTTGTCAAGTATGAATGCTGGACACAATGAAATAACATTGACAAGAAAAAATGCAGTTGAAGTCTAATCAAAACATCTTTATGAAGTTTGGAAATATATTTTTGCAAGTATGCATACATACTTGTATGACTGAGTGCACTTATCTGGTAGCAAACAAGTCACGAAAATTATTCAAACAGGTCGTGCTTCAGCATTAACAAAATGCATTACCCACTGATGCCACTAGTAACTCAAGTACTCTAGGGCATTCTATAATCTTTTCCTGAAATTATTCCATTTCATTAAGTTCCTATATATAATACATATGAGATAAAAGAAAACAGTTTGCGTATATACTACTTTGCAATATCAAATAAAGTTCCCAACATTCTCCAGGTTATTAGGAAACTAGAAAAATAGTCTCTTACTTTAAAACTATTTCATTACTTCTGAGAATAGTCATATCAGCTGCTGATCTATAACAGGTAATTTTATGCTGGATTAAATGGATTCTAGATGTAAATTCGAATTTTTTTAAAGCATAGGTATTTATAGGTAATGATGAACCCCCAACTAGATGCATACCCGAGGAATCAACCAGAATAATGCATGCCATAGGCCATTGCTTTTTTTTTATTTTGGTCTGATTTTATAATCTTTATGCCTTATGAACATCAATAGTGGCAGAAATATCCTTGATTAAATTGCCACAATGTTAGACTAGAACATACAAATCAAGAGTTTAAACTCTATTTACATATACATGTAAATATATATATATTTGGAAACAAATATCATGGATCATCATGGTATTTGGAAATTAGGATAACAGAAAGTAAAGATTTAGCTCTGGGATTTATCCACGTAAATTAATTTAGATATGGGAACACAAATGATTTGAAAGATTCTATTTTACTTGCTACACTTGAAATCATTGCGGGTTTTTTCTCTACTGTGAAATCATTGGTAAAATAAAAAAAAAATTTCTGTTGTCCATAAGAAGTAGATGTGATCTGAACAGAAGTAAGGTACTATCTTGATTGACATTTTTAATGCCCTTTCCTGCTTACTATTGGAAGAAATGCCTTAATCCTCAGAAAATATAAAAGGCTTAAAGGAATCGACATGAGGCAAACTGGCCCAGGTAGAGTCACTAAACACTTTTTCTCCAGAGGTAAAAAAGCAATAAGGTATTTCACAGTTACCTCCACTAAGGATTCTGGGTGGGAGACATGAATGAACTCACTCAGCACTTTGGCAGTTTGTAGACTGGTGTATTTCGTGGCAGGCCAGAAATGAAGACTAATCCACACTCTGCCTTCCTTACATATATTGAATGATCATGAAAATGACTGCTCATTTTCTGCTGATGCTTTCAAAAGTTACATAAAGGAAAAGATGAATCAAGCATTATCCACAAGTGAGTGGATGGCTGCATGTCTCCCCATACACAGAGACTCTTAGGCAAAAATGGACATTTTTTTTTGTCCCATTCCCCATCCTGAGGAATAAATACCAATTAGTTTAAATTGCTTTCCTGGATTTGAGATCTTTGAGGCTGATAAGCTATCACACAACTAGGTCTTCCTAGACAAAGTGCTCCAAAGTGCTAAAGTAACACAATAATGCTTTAGAACCTGTTTGTCTAGGATACCATTCTTGTGGACCTTTCTTCTCCTGTGAAATACCAGGACTCAGTTCTTAGTATTTCACAAATGATCCCAACAGCAGTGGTGTTAACACCATGAATTAAAGAGGCTTTGAAGTCACTTTTTCAATCTTACTTCTTACTGCCAGCTCCAGAAGATCTCACCTGCTCCTGGTCATGCTTCACTGGTTTCACAGACACAAGCATTAGAACCAGATTAATAGTAAACTCTGAAAACTCATGAAAATTCTACACATATAATATCTTATACTTATAAAGTAGCCTCTGATTCATAACTTATAAGATTTTTCCTTATTTATTGCAAATAATAAATTTTAATGTAGTTTTATTGTTTTGGAACAGCCTTCACTGGAGGAATGAAAGTAACAAGGCTTTTGTGGTGGGATTCTGGATCCAGTGGATTAAGCATGCTGGTCCTGATGGGAAAAATGGGAAGCATAATGCATTGTAAAGTAGAATGTGGCAGAGGAGGAAAGTCAATAAGAGCAGAAGAAAGGAAAGCAAGGCTATGCCAACAAAGCAAGTTTAATCTTCTATAGAAAGGGAAAAAAGCAATTTGCATATCATCCTCAAGGCCAGCTTCTCATGCCTGCCATTGCATTAAGTCATGAATAGCTGCAGTAAAAGATGCATGAGAGTTGCAATAAGTGAGCAGAACAGGAAAGGCTGGACTTTTTAGTGCAGGGAAATCCAAGGCAGCTGAGACAAGCTCATGGTAATTTAAACGCCTTGTAGTACATATTAGCACAGGCTGCAACAGTTATGTTTGATGTTGCTTTACGTTGAAAATTTTAAAAGCTAGTCTGATTTTCAGTTGCCCTTACCTCAGTTAATAATGAGCGCCCGTGGAAATGAAAATGGATGGCCTCTGCTTCCAACCAAGATTGGATATCTCATAAAAGGACACAGAGCACAATAGTGTCATGCAGTGGTCATGGAAAAAGGAATGCACACAGAATGATTATAAGATTATTCAGTAGTATATGGTGCTGTTTTTGTCTCTCTAAGCATTTGCACTGCACTCATCCTCACATCTGATCATCTCTACTTAGTGTCAGCTCCTTCTTGTTATTGTTAATTGCAAATAATTAGAAGGTTAGCTAGGGAGGGTGAGTCATAGCAAAAGGGGTATGTGGGAACATGGGTTTACAATGGGATTCTGGAAAAAGTGAGGGAGCTCAAAACACTAGGAGGAAGGGAAGGTGCTGGAGAGCTGTGACTCAGGGGAGAGAGACCTGGGATGGAAACATGAGGGAGGCCTGGCTGGGACAGCTGGTGGAGAGGATATTTTGAGAGGCAGAGGCCCCATTTTGAACTCTCCCCCAGGGCAAACATGTTGTGGAGGAAGTGGTGGCAGCGAGGCAGGAGGCAGCTGAAAAGATGAGGTGTGGCAGGTCAGCAGAGAGCTGGGCCGAGACAGGGCCGCAGCAGTGCTGAGACAGGGCCGAGACAGGGCTGCAGCAGTGCTGAGACAGGGCCGAGACAGGGCCGCAGCAGTGCTGAGACAGGGCCGAGACAGGGCCGCAGCAGGCCCGGAGGGGCAGGTGCTGCCCCAGGATGGCTCTGGCTGCAGGAGCCAGCCCCAGGCAGGGCCAGAGCAGGCCCCAGGTGCCCGCACAGCAGTGGGGAGCCTCCCTTTCACTCACCTTTGCCAAACAGATGAAGTCAGTCGCTAACCTGGGGAGGGGAAGGGAATGGTCGTTGAGGTAGAAAGTA